ATTTGCAGTCTGTTAAGGCATGTGCTCTATTATTTTGATATAAAGCTAGATTATTATGTTTAAGTGCTTAAGAAGACTAAAACTATCTACTACGTTCACCTCAAACCCATAAAAGCGACTCACAACTTAACAGCCTCCAACTTTCTAGAGACAATCTTGGCCGCCGTTCATTAACAAAACAGAAAAAATTTTTCTTAGTTTTATGTCTTTTCCTTCAACACGTTGACGACAACGTGCGTTTTTAGCTGGCTGTCTTTTGGGACAATGCCCTCCACGGAGAAAAAAACACATGCAGATTGACAACTATAGTATACCTACAGTTATTCTGTAAAGCAGGCGAGAAACACTAAGGGAACTTCTGGAACGAATGTATTACAAAATAATGGTCTTTCAACAAAATTTAAGACTTGACCCACCATGTGGGTCACACTGTCTCCAGGTGGCAAACATCGCATGACCCTCCACGTGGGTCACTTTGTCGTCAATGTGTTAAAAGTTGGTTATCTCCATTTATCAAAATTAATTGCAGTTTACGCATTTGCCTAGCCATTCAGAAAAACAAATTGGCACTGTGTCAAGTCACTCAAATAAACAAAAGCTGTGATTACAGAGATTGATTACCAAATCAAACCATCTACCATCAGATATGTTTGCTTTTGCATCTGTATATCCAAATAATCGCTCAGAGGATCTAAACATGTACCTATATGGATGCTATAAAACTCATGTAGCTAGTCGTTGAAGAGTTTTGTATATGTTAGATATATGGATAGCCTTTGCAGAAGCTAGGCTGACAATCCTGACTCACTGTCAGTCAACGATGTGGCCACTGGAGAGGCGAAGTGAAGAGAAGGGTAATTGGGTACAAAACTGATTCTCATTTGCTACTAAAAGACATCTTTCTATAGCAAATTTTTGATTTGAAGCAAAGTTGTGTTTACAAAGATCTCAGTTTGTTTTAATTTGACGCCTTGTCAAATACAAAGTACCGTATTATTTGGCGCATGAGTAACACAAGACTACCGCATAACACCCAAAAAAGACGAGAGATGGTAATCTGGGCTTGCATAAGCTAAGTGAGAATCGCTTCGTTAAAAGCGAGAAGTCGTGTTACAAACAGATGATAGTTGAGAAAAATGCATAAGAGAAGACAAGGGAGAAAAGGAACTCTGCAGAAAGAGGGCGTGGCTCCAAAACCTGGCTATAGAAAATCGTACGAGAACGAGGTTATTGTCGCAACTACATATGAGCAAGAATTTACCAGAACTAGCCTTGGAAAATGCTGTTTTCTTTTAGGAAAGAGGGTGATGAGGTAAAAGATTGGGTGAAAGAACCTTACCGTAACGGGACATAGTCTAGCGATCTTACAACAAACCTGTGAGAAAATTACTCAGAAAGATCACTGGCCACAGTATGTAGATCAAAAACACTAACAGCACAGCCATTTCAGCCAAAGTTTTTTCCGCAGGACATTTTGTTCTCAAAAAGAAGAATTAAGGGAGATAGAGTAGGAGGAACGCTGCAAAAAGTGGCATGCGCCTCATCATCTTATAGGATCTTGTGGGAAACTTACCTTGAAAGAGTCACTAAATTTTTCAGGACGATATCCTGGGATGATGCTTTTATCAGAAATTTCAAATTTCAATGGGATCAAAATTACGAAGTTGGAATGGAAGGAAATATCTGATTCAGTAGCGGTTAACTAGCAATGAAATTCCTGAGTGTCTATATGAATTTTGATTGACAATTTGTTTACAATGTTAGTTCCACAGATGTGATACAGATGTTGTGACATAATCAGCTAGAGATAGTTCCCGAACAAGAAATTCTGGACTCTTGGCTCGGGAGCGACTTGCGTCAAAGTGTGCACTTCGTTCTCCTGATGGATCTGCTATGGATGCAGATCTGCAGAATTTAATGTGCTACGAAGCACCAAGATTACAATCTTGTACAACCCTGTAGTTTGAAGATTTTCACAGAAGATAATGAACGATGGCGAGAAAGAGCTTACTGTACTGGGAGCACGTCAGATGTAGAGAAAAAAACTCAAAAAGAGCAATGAAGTAAAAATAATCCGAGACTTGATTTTTAAGATTAACATGGTGATATGCACATCGATAAAACTTCAGAAATAAAGTGGAATGGGATGGATTTGTTGATAACTTTCAACGTACTTCGCGCACGTGTCTTAAAATCGTAGACAAATTAATTTTGTGCAAAGGGATCGTGTCGGAAAGTACAAGAGAAGAATTCGCCTTCAGCTTCGATGTTCAGATCACTGGATGTAATATTCAAGAGACTGGATAAAAATTACATGATCTTTTTCAGGTGGTGAGCTTTGGGTATAAAATTGCGATGGGTACTTTTCTATCAAGGTTATGACCTCCACTCTCTGGACTTTTAAAAATGCATTTAGAACCCAAACATATAAATCATTTACACATCTTCACTGATATTTAGAATCCAGTTAACTGCGATTCGCTTACCATCCTGCCAACCAGTCCGCAATTCCACCTGATATGCACTTGATTTCAATGTCTTGTAAGGTCAACAGAATGTGATAATCAAATAGCTCTTTGTAAATATCGCAGATGAGAAAATATTTGACACAGTACATATCCTAAAGCAATCCTAATGGTTTGCACGGCCTGAGGGGAATTCCAAAAAACTAAAGCAGCTCTTTATTTTCTTTGGTTCTTTTCCTGTCGAGATCTGTCAGAGTTTGATGATGTTTCCATTGTGATGGTAATTGTGAACGGATTTTTTTTTGCAAAGTACTCGTATTCACAACATTATCTACTGGAATAGCAGCTGATAGTGCAAAGCAAACCCTGACTCAGCATTTCTGCAACCATTGCTGACGACGGCGTAAAGAACGATGGCTATACCATAATAACTATAGCATTTGATGTTGGCTATAAAGGATTGCTGCTTTGATTCGTTTGCTAATGGTTTTATAAATACTCAAAGGAGTACACTTGGAACAATTGCATCATGTTGTTTTATGGCTACGGCCATATGGGCGGAGAAAGGAAAGCGGGATCATTTTTTCAAGGAAGATAAATATGACTAATACAGAAGCGAACATTATATTATAAATAGCTGTATGAAGCTCTGACTCAAAACAATAACTCCACTAAAGGAATACAAGACTATTTAGAATCTTCAGCAGAAAGGGGAGTCTTCAACAAATTGATAAGTAATAAGAACTAATTGAGCTTCAAAAATTGAAGCACGTCCGCAATCTGTACTCTATCTCATTGGAAGTGGCTGCTAGAGGGCGGTGCTTTGATCGCCCTCTAGCAGCCAAGGCATGAGAAATTATTAGAGAGCACGCTTCAGAGAGAGACGCAGAGCTGAGAACCCCAAAATCCACCCGCCACTCCCAATGAGACAGAGAGTAAATCTGTTTCAGTTCCATAAAATTGAATTCTCCTTATTTGGAGATAAAGCCTGAGAAGTACTAGCTCCAACTACTCTAGAATCTGTTCAAGCCACAGAAGATCTATTCACGTAGACGAGCCCGGACGATTTGTTTTACTAACAATGTGTGCAGATAGTGTAAACATATAAAATAAATCTTTGTTCTTACGCCTCGACGCACGTTATCTTCACAATTCAAATGTCGAGCAGCACTTTTTATGCAAATGTCATTGTGAAAAGTAAACATGCACTTGAAATGCATTAGCAAAGCTAGTCAGGCTTGGTTCTTTGTTATAATGAATACTTCATGAGGATGAATGTTTACAGAAATTCCTTGGAGAATTTCGGAAACATTCGAGAAAAGACAGGTGTTGTAGACCAATGAGATTGTTTTATGTGAAAAATGAGCACATAATGCCGCGGAAAATCGTTTTAACACCGTTTTCTGGAGAGAACTGGGTGCAAAGGGTTTTATGGAGGGTTCTTAATGACTAGCATTATTCACAATAAGCAATGACATTAACCATACAATAAAGACGTCATTGCTTCTGCAAATAGCTCCAGGAACTATTATAAAGACGTCATTGATTCTGCAAACAGCTCCAGGAACTATTGTCAGCGGGTGATAGCGTGTGCTAAAAAAGTTTGAAAGTGAGCTCAGAGGAACTAGAAAGCTTAAAATATTATGCAGAGGAAAAGGAAGGAAGGCGAAGATATGAGCTGGTGAGAATGTCGAAAAAGTACGTCCTTGAAAACGTATCCTAGTGTTTTCCTTAGGTTATTTTTGTTTAGTAAATGAAATACATACGCAAAACTCTTCTGTCAGCAAAATCTGAACTGTTCCAAGGATTAGCAGGATGGAACAATACAAAGATAAAATTGAAAATTTTGCCTTTTAATCTAATATATAAAGAATCGTAAGCGCAATACAAAAAGGTGCACATAGCGGGAAACCACGTGGCGGTCCCGTAGCGCGCGCATGCTTCTAGCACCTTCAATTGTTGGTTCACTAGTTTTATTAATAAGAGTTCCTATTTCAAACCAAGACACTAGAGCTGAAAGGTCTTGTGATAATCGTAAACCAAATGAGGTCATTTGTTCACCTAAAAAAAAGTAAAACACGAAACCAGTTCAAATTTAAACAAGTAGGTTCGAACGACTGCCAAACTACGAATAGGCTGCCCTGGTAAGTGCTCCTGGAAGCATTTAGACTCGACAGCTATGTCTAGAAAAGATTGCTGATCAAACTTCTCAAGGCCATTACATAACATTCACAATTTCAAGGGAAATCGTTGAAAATATTGTTACTAGATCTGACTTCCACCGTGCTTCCATATGTGCATGGATTTAATAGTAGTTCAGTTCATAAATTTTTGCAAATCATGGTGTTGCTTTTAAGGTTTCAACATTTATATAATTCCTTTGTACAGCTCGTTTTTGAAGAATAATTTGAAGCCATTACATTTGTACAAAGCGAGTTTATTGATGAAGGTTTATTCCAAACGAGGACTCCTATGCGAAAGATAGTATACTATTGAATTTTTTCATAACTTTAATGCTTAACTTTCAAAATCATCAAGGACACTGTTATGGCTAGAGAATCATCTTTGTTACGATAAGTGGGATGAACGAGAGAAGAACTGGCGAAGTATTTGATCCATTGCAGAGATCCTTATTACAGCAGCATCTGGTGACATCGTTTTTTGTTTCGCAACCTACTTTCTAAAAGCATCAGCTTTTTTCAACAAGAAATCAAGTGTTTGTCAAACCACAAGGCGAAGAAAGTTTCAAGTACGCACCATGCAAGAAAGCACCGTTTCAGGACAGCCATATTCGTGAATTCTGTCTTTACCAGATTTCTTAGTTTCCCTAGAACTCCATATTTGAATCAACTTTTACTTTTGAAGAAATGTTGCTTACTTTACGCAATATTTTATATGGTTACATTCTCTGGTGCTCTTTGGCGGCTTGTCTTTATTCTTCGTAGTTCCTGAAGTGATTTTTCATTTCAAAAGCACAAGTACAGGCAGAAACATACGGTTTCATGAACATTTTCGGAACGAAGAAGTTCTGTTAATTGTAGAAAACGTACCGTAATAGCATTTGATGGCTAATGCACAACCGACGAGAGCAAGAACGGTGATTAAATATTTGAGTGAATACATCCTGGGTGTAGCACTTGTACAACAAATATTTATAGGTTAGGATATTTGCGTAGTGATTCACTCCGTTTTTGTTAAAACTGATAAGGACTGATTTGGAATGCATTTTTTGTTTTATGGGTTATCTCAATGCTATATTGGATAAGAGAAAATTACTCGATTGCATTGAAACAGTTTACCATCTCATATATTAGGGTGAACGGTAAAAAATGGGACAGCTTGATTTTCATTACATTTTGGAATTTTTTGTTTCTGGCAATAGCAAGTAAGCAGCAACTTAAACGTCGCTTACATGGGCGACCTTCGCTTATTATTCTGACAACGCGTTAACGCTCCTCTTCCACTACCCTACACGTGGCGCCGTGAAGAACTCGAACAGAGTTTTTTGCACAATCCTCAATCTTGCGCTGTTATACCGTAAAGTCGTAAAGCAAATGACATACCATTCGAAAGAGCTCTTCATGCTCTTTCGAACGATATGTTAAATGCATGAGATTTCTTTTCAATTTCAGAAAAAAATTCGAAAAAACCTGAAAAATAGCTATTTTTGGCGCAACAAAAAACCAAAAAATCATGTTTTGCCCTATATTTTCCGAAGATAGATAAAATCTGAAGTAAGCTGCATATGGATGGATAGAGCGTAAAAAGCTTTATCAGACGATACCTAGAAATCATGCGTTTACCTGCAAAGAATTGAATAACGCGTATCTTTATTTTCGAAGCTGTTAATGGGCATATCTCCTGACATTGAGAGTTAAAGCCACCAAGCCGTCGTGGGTTTGGTGACTGTCCCACCACTCACTCCAGCAGCGGTACTTTGGGTGGTCTCACATGTTTCACTGCGCCGATACTGCTCAAACTTCATAATTTCTCGAAGTAACTAACTTTGCATTTTAGCAAGTATAAAAATTATCAATTATTTAAATGACCTTATATGGGTGCTATCTGAAAGAGAATAATTTATTCTAATATCCATCAAAATTGGAAAGTTCAGTCACTTTTCTTCCTTGAGAAATCTGCAATTATTCTCAAGGTGTCCCATTTTTTACCGTTCACCCTAATATATTTCACCACTTACAATCAACATTGCACAATGCTAACGCAAGAACATCATAGTTCGGGGGCTACAATGACTTTCAACTCGCACAATTTGCATAAGTAACCATTGAAAAGTGCAGCGATTACTTTGTGATTTGAACTCGTTGCGTTTAAAAAAGCTGTTACAGTAACATAACATTTTCCTATCAGTGTTTTGCGAAGGAAACAAAAACGTCTCTGAACGTCTTGAACTCTTAGCTGCAATGAGATGGCTCCTTGTTCATTGTTTACATGTAATAAGGTACCAGTGGCAGTTAGAAAAATTCTATCAGGAAGGAAAGGGGGCACTACAAAAAATGTTTCGAATGATTGGAACTCTAAATCGAATCACCTGCTCATTTTTCAACGAAAGTGACGTGATAGTGGAGATTTTTTCTAGATCAACGAAGCTTATCGAAGTAAGTGACTTGACAATATTCTGTGACAGAACCGACTTTTAGTGCACATTGCATCTAGCTATAGGGCGTGGTCGTTGCCTACTTGTTGAATATGGTCCAATGTTATCCAAGAAAGCTATACATGTATTCTATGTATGCAATGTTGGTCTACTTTAGAAAGGAACGTTTGCTATAGCCATCATTTATAAAAACCTTGCATTTTTTCCTGGGAAACTACAAACTTGGGAAACAAAATCTTCAATGATGAAACCTATTGTTCTTGCTGCAGGGTCCTCGTAACATGGCTGTGACTCTTACTTTACACAACAAAGTTATAGAAGGAAGTTGTGCTAAAACCAAATCGAGATTGGCACTTGCCAACGTATTCTATATCAGCATTCATAACTCATTTAAAACTTCTTGACGCCTTTTATAGATAATATAGGCACCAAGTCGCTAAGTCGACTTGCTCCATGCAAGAGCGAGTGTAACAAAGTGTCGATGGGGTCATCGCTGCTACTCCTCTCCGGATAATCTGCTCTATCCGTCAGTTTCTCTTCCAAACCCGCGAATCTCACGAGAATAGGCATTTGATTTGAAGTTCCTTCCCCAGTGTCGGGAGATAAAATCAAAATATAGCCAAAGGAAGAAATTCCAATCATTACGAAATCGGTTACTTAGACAGTTTCTGATCGTGCAAATCAGAATCTTATATATAAAGCTGAATGTCTGTTTGTCTGTATGTCTGTCTGTATGTCTGTCTGTGTGTACGTATGTTCCGAATAGGAAATTCCATTTCTGAACCGATCCGGACCAAACTTGGCACACATACACTTCGGGCCCCGGCGGGTGTCACAGTCCACTTTTCGTTATCGATCGATATCGATTTTATCGATTTTTATCGATTTTTTTGCTGAGTTCACCTACGGGGCTGGGAGTTGGCACAGGGGGGTAATCGAGCATGGGGATTCCGAATACAATATTGGTTTTCAGGATTATCGATTACTTTTATCGATATTATCGATTTTTTTGCAAAGTTTGAGCTACGGGGCTGGGAGTTGGCACAGGGGGGTAATCGAGCATGCTGATCATCCCCAAGGGGGGTGATCAGCATGCTCGATTACACCCCTGTGCGAACTTCCAGCCCCGTAGGGGAACTCAGCAAAAAAATCGATAAAAATCGATAAAATCGATATCGATCGATAACGAAAAGTAGCCTATGACACCCGCCGGGGCCCGTAGCGTACGTGTGCCAAGTTTGGTCCGGATCGGTTCAGAAATGGAATTTTCTATTCGGAACATACGTACACACAGACATACATACAGACAGACAGACAGACAAACAGACATTCAGCTTTATATATAAGATTAACAAAGGACAAAAACTTCAGAGCTAAAAAAGGTTTACGACACCAGTCTCTGTTGATAATGACCCTGACAATCAACAGTAGCAAAGGTTCCTGCACTAGGAATCGTCTTATCACTATTTATGTAACTTCTTACACTTTCGATTTTGTAACCGAACAGTTTGATGTGTCATCGAACAGAAATAGAAGCAACCAATGATTAGATGATAAAGTGTTTGACCGTTTATAGCGGCAGAACGACTTTTGAAGATAAGAAAAGTTTTCTATAAATAGACATAACGAAGTAAATCAAGTTTTGCCTTTTATCAAGGCATGAGGCTAAAGATATAAAAAGAGGTGTTTTCAGTCGCCGTTGTGAAAGAGGTGGAGTTAATGCAAGATTTTTGGAGGTGATCGATAGTCTCAAGGCTGCTTTGATATAGGAGAACAGGGTTAATTTTCAACGGTGGGCCAAACTGCCACAAGAACTCAAACTGATATTATGGTTTTTTCAAGAGATGAATAGACTCCCCCCCCCCAAACAACCTACCAATTTAACTGCATTCAAAGCCTTAGCAAAAAACTGATCGGCATTTGAAGAGGGTATCAAAAGCCCTGAAACCTTTGTATTTCAATCCTTGTTGATCATTGCAGATATGCAAGCAGATAAGAAAAAACGGTGACTATAAACTTAGCTGATCAAACTCTCTTCGCCTTGCCTCCGGCATCCAACTGAGCGGTCAATGGAAAATCACTGAGTATTGTCTTTCTCTTTTTTAAAGGAAAAAATTACAAACTTTGTACGGTGAAATAAGGAAACGAGATCTGTGGTGTGAGTTCCATGTCTCGCCTGTTTGTCATCATCATATCTAATGTTAGATGCCGTTTTGGTTCAACGATAAGATTTATGGCTTTTTGAATGTTTCATGTTCAGACAAAGTTACACATCAGACACATTTTCACAACTTAAACTTTGAACTCCAAATAAATCACCACATACACATATTATTAAAGTTGAAAGCTCACATGGAAACAAGCAGTATTTTGCGAAAAATATTTTTTCTAACGATAACTTGTTCATGTTACAAAAACGTTCAGATTTACTCTACATTCAGAGCAGTAATCGGTTCTAGTTTCGGCGCTGTTCCAAGAATATTTTTATTGTAAAAAATGCGAGCAACCTTGCCATGTTCTAAACATAGCCTGATGCTATTACAGTAAAGAATCTGCCCGGGGTGTTGGACAAAAAGCTATAAGAACTAAGTAATTTGATATAGCAGGTTGATCGACCGAGCTTAGCAAACAGCGAGAGCGCTTGAGTTTGAATTTTCAAGAATTTTCATTTATCAAGTATTTCAACTTTGAAGAAATAAAACAATTGTTATGTTCAGATTACTTCACGTGTTTCTTATCTTTCTTTGATATCTGACGTGAAAAAAAAACCTTGGAAATTTCTCGGTGAGCCAGTTGCTTGGAATGCTGATCCAGTGCTAGGATTGAAAGCAAAGGAATGGGGGAGAAGGAGGAAGGAAATAAGAGTACTCAAATGATTATAACTCACTAATCTAAGTAGCAAGCGCCACTTATTCAAAAATCTCCACAGAACATTGTAGTATAGTCGTCATCAAGTCGTGATTAACTAAATATGCGAGATTGCACACTGTGCGCGGCATCAGACGACTACT